TGTGTACAACATTTATAGAAAAAAATATCTTGTATTCCTTAGTTACTGATTCAAAAACTCTCCTTATTTATGTGTAGAACATTTATAGAAAAAAATATCTTGTATTCCTTAGTTACTGATTCAAAAACTCTCCTTATTTATGTGTAGAACATTTATAGAAAAAAATATCTTGTATTCCTTAGTTACTGATTCAAAAACTCTCCTTATTTATGTGTAGAACATTTATAGAAAAAAATATCTTGTATTCCTTAGTTACTGATTCAAAAACTCTCCTTATTTATGTGTAGAACATTTATAGAAAAAAATATCTTGTATTCCTTAGTTACTGATTCAAAAACTCTCCTTATTTATGTGTAGAACATTTATAGAAAAAAATATCTTGTATTCCTTAGTTACTGATTCAAAAACTCTCCTTATTTATGTGTAGAACATTTATAGAAAAAAATATCTTGTATTCCTTAGTTACTGATTCAAAAACTCTCCTTATTTATGTGTAGAACATTTATAGAAAAAAATATCTTGTATTCCTTAGTTACTGATTCAAAAACTTTTCTTTATTTGTGTACAGTTCTGGTGACCATCTATGTCCGATTTCGGCAAATTGCTGAGTTATACCGCAACCATTCCTCGTCCTCTAACATCGTGAGACTCAACAGAGTGGGACTTCTAATAGGCTCCCTGGCTGCTCTTGGCATATCCATAGTTGCCAACTTCCAAGAAACAAATGTGTTCTTTGTACACATTTCGGGGGCCTTGATGGCTTTTGGTCTGGGCACTGGGTACCTCTGGGTGCAGGTAAGATGGACAGGCAGTGAGTGTTGTTTTAAGGAGAGACTAAAAGAAAGAAAGATAGGCAGGCAGGCAGGCAGGTAGGCAGACAGACAGACAGACAGACAGACAGACAGACAGACAGATAGATAGATAGACAGACAGACAGACAGACAGACAGACAGACAGACAGACAGACAGACAGACAGACAGACAGACAGACAGACAGACAGACAGACAAACAGACAGACAGACCACTTTGAGAACTGCAGGAGAAGACCTTTTGTATTTACTTAACTTTTTTTTTTTTGGGGGGGGGGTGGAGAACAATAATAGAAAAATTATAATTTTCTAAAGTGAGTAAAAAATGACGTAGTTATTTTTAGGGAGATGTTTAAAAGTAGTAATGTGTAAAAATATCCAGACACTGAACTTTTATTCTATTTTGTCTGTGGTGTCTAAATTTGATTGTGTATTTCCTAAAAATAAGACAGTTAATGATAGTTTGAATCAGTATTATTTGTTTAAGCAGTTCTTATTTGACTGAAACAACATTAAACTCTATAGAAATTCTTCTAATGTAGATTGGCTTTTAAAACCAACTATTTTTTATATTTTTTATAAAGGCTGTACAATACAAGAAAAAAAGACCAAAAGATTATAAAATATTTAACTCATAATCCTCTTCCTCTCAGGCAATGTGTTCCTACCAGACTCATCCGCTTGTCAACAGCCTTGCTATGGCCCATGTGCGGCTGATCTTAGCTGTTGTGGCGGCAGTCTTCTTTGTGACAGGTTGCATCTGCGCCAGTATCGCTCATGCACAGTTCAAAGGTGGGGTTTGGAGTTTGTGGGTAGATTAACTAGTAATATTAGCTAATGTGATTTTCAGATTTTTTTTTAGTTTATTTGTATATGATATTTTGGATTTATAGCTCTTGATTTCTGTATTGGCAGAGATAATTATATTGTAAGAGGTTAATAATTAAAAGGTGAATATACAGATTTACATAAAAAACTGATATGACTGAAATCTTCTCATGTTTTCTCATGTGATGTGAATCATTACAGGCGATGACCCAACCAAGTGGTACCCTAAAGATGGAGGGTGGGCGTTCCATGTTGCAAGCACAGTCTCAGAGTGGGTTTGTGCTGGAGCATTTAACATTTTCATGCTGACACTAGTGGATGAGTTTAAGTGCATCTCCATGGATCCTCCACAAGTAAGATATAATGGTATTGTTAGTAGAAAGAATACCATCAGTCTGGATTTATTTGATGAAAGAACTTGGTTCTGTGTTTCAGCATTAGCAGTTTTCTTTGAAAGTTGGTCAGGTTGCTAGAATCATTTTCGTATAATTTTTAGTGTATTCTAGCACTTGCAGCATTAAATGAGGGTGAAGATGGATAAAGGAGCAGTCTTTCCATTGCTTTGGGAATAGTGCTGATGGTCTTATGCTCATGGGAATTACCTTATTTTTTTAAAGGAAGTATTCATCTTGCTTTATTTGGTGCTTTCTGGTAAAATCTTAAATGTGTCATTATAAAAAAAAAGTAATTGTTAATTATTTGCTAATTTTATGTGCTCCTATAAAACTATATATGTGTTTTATTAACAGCTTACATGATGTTAGTCAGATATAATATGAAAGGATACGTATTGCCTAAATTTGTTTATAAGACAGTTTTATCTTTATTTTTTAGCAAATCTTCATTATAATATTCTTAGAAATCTTCAAAAGCCCATAAAAAAAGAAGGGGATAGAACCTTCCAGTATCATAGTTGACCATTTTGGGAAATAATTTGTCCATGAAATCACAGTTTTTTAGTTTTCATTTAAAAGAAAATATGAGATCAGAATCATCAAGAAATCATAGTACTTAAGTTGTTGAAAGTGTGCTAACTTAGACACGAAAACAAAAACTGAATTGCTTTTTTTTTCTTTTTTGTAAAGAAAAAAAGAAAAGAAAAGAGTTCAAAGAGAGCCTCCCAAAAATTAAACAATTGCAGACAGTTTTGCCCCATAAGGTTGATAATTACATTTTTTCTGCCAATAGCAGTAGAAAAAAAAAATGTTATGGAGAAATCCTGTTTCAGTATTATAATAATAATAAGAGTTTAAAGGTCAACAGTTTACACTCATCATTTTAAAAATTATTGCAAAAACTGCTGCATAATGATAAATTTTATTACAAGGCCTTATTTAGATTGACTCCCATAAATAGACATCAGATAAGATAACATATTATAATTATTACGAGTAATAAAGATTATTGTGTACAAAAGTTGGTAGATGAAGGAAGAAAACTAACTAACTGATTTATAATTCTTCAGGTCTATGTATCCGTTGAAACACTGGCACCAACACAATACAGTGGCATTGGGGAACCCGATCAAGCAACCGATGACGTGCAGGCAATCCTGTCACAGTCCTACATAACCTGAGGACAACCCTCCCAGTCAGCTAGCTGTATGTCTGCTGGCTGCTTCTCTGGGGGGGTAGGAAAGGACAGTGCTGCAAGGACCCATCTCTCACGGTGCTGGAATGGTGGGCTGTGCCGTGATTTAAGTCTTGTTAACTGGCCTTGGGGTAGGTGTTTTAGTTTTTCGTGTGAGGGGAGTGTGGTCCTCGACGATGAGAGTGTGCCATGTCTCGAACATTCTCCCGAGGCCATGACCCGGGAAACCATAGCAGGCTGCACAGTGTCGGAAACTATCCAGCCTCAGGCGGAGATTATCAGTGACTGTGGTGCTGGCATACTGCCATGCATGCGAGCTACAACTGCCTGCATGGTGACCCATGTTGATAGTAATGCTGTTTTTGATGAGTCTGCAAGAGAAAACTTGTGTCAGGCCATAAGAAAACATTCTGCTAGAGGTTACAGTTCATTTGAGCCCTCACCACCGCAAGAGGAAATCTGTAGCATGACCCAAGCAAGCAAAGAAGTGCAGAATTGGACGCATTTACCTGAGGAACTTAAACCTTTATTGGACCAAGAAGATGGTCTGTCAAATGAGGACTGCATTAGTGATGGAATTGTAAATGACTTAGGCTATACTGTTAATAAAAACATTTCATATAACAAGGTATTGCCTTTTCCAGTGATTTCAAAAAGTATAAATACATTGGAAACTTTTGGAGGAGAAAAATATGTATTAGATTATAATGAGTATGCAAAGTCTCATGCAGTTTCATTGGGTTTGGAGAATGAAGTCAGATATCATGATAATGATTTGTCAGCATCACTACCTGTAACACCCAGGGAAACAATGGTCCTATGTAATGATTTAGATAGTGACTGTCAAGTGGTTCCTCTGTCATTCAGTCCAAATCTCTACCCTGATCTGGGTTCTGTTCCTCGTATTAATTGTCAAGTTTCAGACAAAAGTATTGTGCCTCAGAGGCAGTACAACTCTGTTGTAAATACATCTTGTAACAATGCATCTTTTGTAACACTCATGGGTCAGAATAGAAGTCCTGCCAGTCTGCCAGCTTCTTGGCCTCGAAGGAGACCACACTCACTCCGTGTAGCTGTGTGCTACTCTGATCCAGAATGTAGGCATAAGGGAACTTTTACAGACTCCCCTTCCAAGCAGGAAATAGGCCTAAATGATATGTCAGTCAAAACCCAAGCTTTGTCCCCTTTTTCTAGCACAACTAGCTTTTTAAGAGAGAAGAATGGTTCTCCTGTTGCAAGTTCTGAGTCACACAGGGATGATGATAGTGCAGAGACTAAATCAGTAGTTGATACTAACCACTCTCTTCAAGTAGATCATAAAGATGTGGAAGAAGTTCAAACTAGGTTAAGAGATGGAGAACTCACAGCGAAGATATCAGAGTCCGAAGAAAACCAATCATCTGAAGACTTGAAGATGAGCACATCAGCAGATTGTTCCATGAACAGTGATACCAGAGCAATAGTATTACAGTCTGTGCCTCAGGACTCAGAGACTGAAAGTGATCCTACTCATAACTTTGAGAATAAGGAGACTGTGTATAATGACAGTCTCATGTCTCCAAGCAGTGATAAAGAAAATGATCCTGCCCTACTGTCTGTCAGACCTAAAATTCATAGTTTAAACAAAGATCACAGTTCACCCAAAAAAAAGAAAAGTTCTCCCAAGAAGAAATACAGATCACCCAAAAAGCAGAAACTGCAGGACAATTCTAAGATTCAGAAGAGTCTGCCACAAGAGGATAATGAGTTAAAGAGTAAAAAAGATGATGCACACAAATTTGGGAGTTTAGATGATGATTTCTGGGCAGTAGATGACTTCCTTCCTATTCCTTCCCGGTCATTGAGTCAGTCATTACCGCGAGTGCTCCAGGACTCAGAAATCTCTCCTTTAAGAAATGCAAAAGTTAACAGAGTTTCTAAATTAGTGAAGCCTTACCTGAACAAGTATGATGCTAATCAACCTGGAAGTCAAGTTGAAATTGACAGTCGTGCATTAAATAGTACCTTTTCATCTGACACAGGTTATGAGACTGAATCTGCTGCTTCTGATTATAGGAGCAAAAGTGAATTAGGTTTTATTGATGGAAAGAAAATGTCTAAAAAAGGTTTCAATTTGCAAGGCCTTTGTCCTCAAGATCAACCTCTACCTCTGACACACAGTAAACATTCCTCTTATAGTCTACTTTCAGAGCTTAGCACACCTGTTGACACTGTTTCTGAACCTATAACTCCACACACTATAGCTGATGATACTGCTGAATATTTCAGCGTTTGTTCACAGCTAACGAACCCTGTACATTCCTCAGTGGATAATATGGTAAGCAAATATAATGGTGAAGATACTCCTGATTACTTAAGCATTACTTCAGATATGCCTGGGGTTCCTAGACTACCAGAAGACAGTCCTTTAGCAGATTTGGAGATGCAGCAACTGTTCTCTGATGATGTACCTGATACTCAGTCAATGGAATGCAGCACAGAGACAGTAGAAGCACTTGATCAACCCACAGTTACTTCAGAAGACTCTCCAGAAAGTGGTGAGCCCTCTACTCTTGCTGAAACCCCAGCGACACTTACTAAATCCATGGTAGAAGAAGGGATTGACGACTGCGAGGAAACCCCATCCTTGCATGAACAGCTGTCTGGAGAACACAGTCCCTCAGGAGTCTCCACTTCTTCAGGTAGTTCTTCCAATTCTGTGGGAAATTCACCCTCCCAGGAATTGGTGGAAATAAAATATGTTCAGTTGTCACTGAGTATAGTATTAGCTATTGTACTTCATGCCATGCAGAGTATTTCACAGTTTATGTTAGAAATATTCTTGGCCTCTGATCAAGAGCCAAACTGGGATTAAAATTCTGGCCTTTTAAATAATTTGATGGTAAGTAATAATCAAACATTAGTTTGTAATACAAAATAGTGCAACTTGTCTTTAGAGATTTAAGATCACAAGACTATACGTCCAGTATAGATTTTGAGTAGAAGTAATGGCTATTTTGGATGGAAAGTAAGATGCCTCTAGGGAATGAGTGTTAAATGAAAAAGGTGATAGGCTTGCAGTGGGCTTAGCTTGCGTATCTACATTGCATGACTCAAGGTGTGCGTTCTTAAACATTTGCTCTTGTGATGCTTCACATAGTAGAGTGCTAGCAATATGATTATACAAGAAAATGAAAGATTTTCTTTCTTATATATAGCTGATACCTTAATACATAGATTCTGAAATTTGAATTAATTATTTATGTAACCTTGTTATTTGAAGCTGTTAATTTAAAAGCAAGTTTTATTATTGAAACTCCCGTGATTTTCATCTATAACTTTTAATCAGGTATAAAATACATAGGAAGTGATTATATGCCAAAGAATTCGTAGCAGTTTTCAAATATTTTTATAACAGCTCTTTTATGTATTATTGAGCACCTGTTGAATATGCAATTGCATATTTCTTAGTGTAGCAAATAATTTTATCCAACTTGATGAAGAGGAGTCAGCTTTTTGTATCATTCCAAAGACTTAATTGTTTATAGAGTTTATAAGTTATATAAGCCAGGCTGTTATGGCATAGATTGCTTAATGATTGAGTAATTGTTAAGTGTATTGATGGCTGGGATGTTGGTACTATGAGGTGTGTATGTCTACACGAATCTGTTTGCTACTGTTGAACAGGACCCTTTTGTGTTCTGCATTTACCCAAATCTTCAACTTATTTCTAGTATTCTTTTCATTATATTGTAAGCACATAAATTCATTAGTTGAAATAGAAGATCTGTGCATTTGTGACAAAATTTCTGTTTTGCACAGCTAAACTGGACTCATAAAAAAAAAAAAAATCCATGTCCATATCACTGTACTTCCTAGTACTGTAATTATTTTTTTTTATTGATTTATTGTTTAATCAAATGGTAATTATTCAATTGTTATAGAGAATGGTTACTTTTAGATTTTATGGCTGTGTTGAATAGAATGTAAAGTCATTGGTCAATAGGTGCAATGAAAAATTCAGATCTGTCTTAGCAGTCTGTGGTTTAAATTGGTATAAGTTTACTTTTTTTATGAGTTCTTTGTAAAGGAGACTTTAGGACTCTTCTGTGAAATGAAAAATACTGAATGATTTAGCAGATAAGGTTTAATATTCAAAGATGAGGAATAGAAAAAGACATTGTGTTTTGTGTGACTTAGCAAGTTGCCAATCAAAATTTGTGTATGACTGAAAGGTAATGATACACAATGTCTACAGTACTATTTGCTTCCATTGTTAGAAGTGATACTCATAATTAATGATAATGATAAATTGAGTTCTTACCAATCAGTTAAAGGCAGTATTACTTAGTGTATTTTAATAATGAAAGTGAGTGTTAGAGAAAAAAAAGGTAATCATTGATATGTATCATTGTGGTATTTATCATGTGTAGAATGTGTAACACCAACAATCTCTTCCGCTAATATTATAAGGCCATGAGAAGAATGTTTTTAGAGTTATTAATGTCATGGTGTGTTTGATACAAAGAAACATTATGATACTCTCGGCCCAGGTTATATGAATAGGTGGTTGAGGTTTTGTTTTTCAAGTGTGTTTATAAAGGTTATTCATGTTTAATGAAGATCACTTAAAGTCTGCTGTTGGCTCTGAAGTTTATATATCAGAAGCTGTGTTGAATGAGTGTCAACTTCTCTATGCCACTCAATTAGAGTGTGTCATTCTTGTCTTACTGCCAGTTTTCGTAGTTTATGTACATGGAGGTATTGATAATGAAAATGGAATTGCATTCACCCCAGCCATCAGCATGAGGTTTAGCCAGATGATGAGAGTACAGTTTAGTGCTGTATTGGTGTAAGTTGATGCTGATAACCATAAGTTCACTTTATTTGGGTTTATGGTTGGAGAAGAGTGATTTCCTTTTCCTTCCATTTTTAATTCTGTGGTATATGTGCAAAACGAAAAAGGAAACTGTATATTGGTATATTGGTGTTTTAGCTGATCTTGAATTATATATACATACATATATATAATATAA